GGGGGCGGGCCCATGGAGGTTCGGGTGGCACTTTTCCCTGCTTGGATTGAGGGGCTCGGAGCGTCGAACGCTTGCCGGATCTCCCCGATGAGGAAAACGGAGGGGGGAAGAGATGGCGGGAGGAGTGCACCCCAGGCCATCCACTCACTCACTCACTATATCTACATAGATGTACGTGTCTCCGTATCTGTATCTGTATCTTGGTTTTTATCTGTATGTAAATGTAAATGTAAATGTAAATGTATATGTATATGTACATGTATATGTATATGTATGTATATGTATATATATATATGTATAAATATTAGGTGATTTGCTGATTTGGTCTTGTGCTTGACATAGGGCAATGCAGTACATTCTCATACAGTGTGTATCACACGGTGGTACATACCAGGGTTTGTGCTGTCTGTAGTGTACGCACTGGACAACCAAACACTCACAGAGATATATACGATGCAATGCATGGTGAGAAGGTTAAGTCTTTCACCGATGTTGACAGATCCGTATAACGGGACAAGGTACGGGGCATGGCTTCCGAGAAGATGGCAGTTCCTTTCCGCGCCTTTCAGCTTGAGTTCAGGCGGCCGTGCGCGACGCAGAGAAGCAGCGGCGCCGGGACGAGGAGGAGGAGCGGCGGCGCGAGGCCGCCTTGACCGTTTTCGCCCCCCTGCGCAGCACTCTTGTGGGTTGGAGCTCAGGCACAGGCCAGGTGCAGAAAGGTAACTGTGTGTAGTCTGCAACAGGGCAGCGTCAGGAATTTACCAATACAAAAGTACCAGCCGAAAGTGGAGAGGGCGTTGCCAACTCAGCATTCTTCGTCCAGGCCGAGCGCCGCCTAGAGCGCAGACGCCTCGAGTTGAAGATACGCCAGCGCCCGAGCCGAGGGTGCTTGGGGCGCTTTCCACAATACCAACTCCAGGCAAACTCAAAGAGGAGCAAGAGGCGCAGGAGTGCTGGGCATGTGGGAACCCGTCAGGTGTGCGTCTGTCGAATTGTGAGTGCTGCTTCCTGTCCTCGAAGGAGCAAGCTCGGCAGAAGGGAAAGGAAGTGCAGCGGCAGCTAGAAGAGCAGGAGGTACGGCACCGGAACATGGCAGCCACCATGCCTGCTGCCATGCCATGTCTGCCTCTTCCCAGCTCAGGCAAGCGAGCGCTGTGCTGCTCGAAGAGGCGAGCCCAGTGAGACAGGACCCGACACGATCCGTGCGAACTGGAACTTCGCCGCTCCAGACTGGAGCCCATGAGTGGAACGAGCGTCTCAGACTTGATGCCGGTGCAGGAAAGGAGGAAGCTCAGAAGGCGCGCAGCGCAGCTGTACCGAGGGTTGTCGAATGCCAGACGCGTTTTCGTCCGAAGCTGTGCCTGAGGAACTTCGGCGCCAGCGCCGTGCACAGCGCGATGCCGAGGAGGCTGGAACAGATAGGGAGAACGGGTTTTCAGGATTAGATGGATAGTCGGATCGAGATCTTAGGACCTCGCACTACTGCCTGGGATGCTCCGACGAAAGCCACAAATTCGAACACCGTGTACCACAGTCATAAGCTTGACTCCAAATTCGTTCTAAACCCGAAAAATCTCAAAAGCTTATAGCGTAAACCCAGCTGCGTGGAGGATGCCAAGCTCCGCGAGGCGCGGCGGCGCCGCCGCGCCGAGGAGGCGATTCGGGCTTGGGGGAAGGTTTGGAGGGCGAGAGGAGGTTCGTGAGAGGAGGGGCTCGGCGCTTTGCGGCTGCATGCAGGTGACACCTGTGACATCATGTGACACTGGAGGGCTATCGGGCCTGCTTAGGGTTTCGAGATTTGGGTCTCATAACTCTCATGCGTGCTAGTGACCTGCAGTTTGGTTTGCTGCTGGACAGTGACACGCGTCTGGAAGCAACATCGCATGGCAGCAACTGCAAGACATCTCATCCCCATCAACCGCCGCGATGTTGATGCAGAACAGACTTACTGGAGAAGCCGGCTTTTGTTGAGGAGGCAGCCAAGAAGGAGCATGAGGCGGCCCAGCGAGCGGCTGAGGAGGACAAAAGGCGGTGCCTCGGCGCAGGGACGCAAAGCGTCTGCGGTTTGCGATTTTGGGCTTTCTATGGCCACGGCTAGGATTGTTGCTGATGCCTGGGGACCCTGTCAGGAAGGAGAAAGAACGCAAAGAGCGTGAGAAGCGCGAGCGCAAGGAGAGGGAAAAGGCATTGATATGCCTGGCCGCAGTGGGTTTCGGGGTAACATTGGCAGATAAGGCACCCTCGCTCCATTGCAGCAGTTTTGTTCGCGGTGAGGCACTTGTAAGCTTGCTGCGGTTCGTTCGCAGTACACTGCCCAGAGCACTGCGAAGCATCGCATAGGAAGCGCTGATGCTTAACTCGCACCTCGAGTCACCCACAAGTGAACGGTTTCTTTCGCCAGAAGAGCGCTTGGTGCACCGGTAGGTCTGTTTGTGTTGGGCTGGGTGTTGGAGGCCGAGGCAGCAGCACAGGCTCAGCGACGGCAAGAGGCGGGCATGTAGGGCTCACCCGCTCGCCCAGCATTTCAGCTGGCGAGAGTCCAGCGGCAGGAAGAGGCGAAGCGCGCAGCTGATGAGAGAAGGCGCCAGGAAGAAGCTGCACGTCGAACCGCGGCTGGTATGTTGAGCAGTAGCACTGGGTGGAAGTTGGAAGGACTGGTTGAGAACATCCAGCAGGTTCGGGGGCAGGTCTTCGTGTTTCAGTCAGGTTTTCTCACACTTAGTTTTTTCGGTCAGTGTTTGTTCAGTTCGGTTTTCGGTTAGCAACCTAACCCACGGCCCTTGAAGACAGACTGTGTCATGCCGTTCTCGACGGCGTGTACAGGCTAAAGAAGGCGGATACATTGGGGTCAGATGCCCCGAAATGTCTTGTTCTGAGATGATTTGTTTTTCGAACTTGTTTCTTGTGTGAATGTAACGTAATTTGAATTCTTGTGTGGCAGTAATGTTACATGTGCTAAAATTCGGTTGATACTTGATGTTCAGCATTGAGCTATACAGCTTTGTCTAGTTACTGGTTTAACAAGAACGGGAAGAGTAGATCAGCATTCGCTTAGTAACTAATTAGGACTTGACGTTCCCATTTGTATGTATATATACATATATATAATTCTTACTACTATTAGCATTATCATTACTACTATTGCTATTATTATTATTATTATCATTATTACTATTATCATCATTAATGTTATTATTATGAATTGTTATTACCATCATCTATACATCATGTATACATCTCAAAAAATGTAGTTTGTCTGAGCATACTGTTCATGGGTGTTTGTACACAGGAAACTCTTAATGCAACTAATATGTAATGTGTTTCAGATATTTAACATATTTTTCACCAACATGTAGTTTTGGGTTCATAGCTCAATCAAAAATATTTGAAATTAATGTGCTCCTCAAACATGACTTCAACGATAATGTGTGGAGCATCCAGACTGCATTTTTTCGGGTAGTCTTTTCGGGTTTGACTATTGTGCGTTTCTTCGTGCCAGTTTGTAGTTAGTTGAAAACGCTCAATATATGTGCCTAGCATATAACATTCACATAAACTTTAGGCTGTGCTTCACGTTCACAGATTAGTAGTTAAGTCTTATATACATATTCGTTCAATACGCGACGTTCAAGTTTGCGCTTTTTGCGTAGACTTCCCCGGGCAATGGAACGGAATAGATTTCAATTAGCCTTAAAGTGTTGGCGCTGCTTCCCCATCTGACATGAATTTTGATACAAGTCTTCATCAAAGTTCCGCTACTATCAATTGCAGAGCTATCCAATATCTGACAATAAACGATTGCTCATTCACATTCGATCACAAGAAAATGTTGACATTGTACAGCAATACAGCTGGTTGTTAACCAGTGTTGGCTTAGCACTTAATTTTAAGTTAGCAATATTTCTTCGATATTCGACAAGATGTCCAATTACGTAGACAATATTCAAGCAAGCCTGATGAGTGTTGTGTACACAACTTTTCAACCACAAATGAGTCCTCGATTTGCAGGTTCGAACTGTTTTTGATCTCCTCATGAATGAGATAAGCATTAGCTGCGACCTAAGCATGAAAGAGGGCTCAATTGCTGATTGTTTCTCATTTGCATGACTGCAATAAGCTAGCTATTCCAGTGTTTGTTGAAGCTTGGATGTTCCTGAATGTGTTCATGGAACGAAACGAAATATTCAGCACATGTTGATCCAACAACAACTGCACATTAGCTCTGCAGCAGCAGAGGCACATGCATCATAATTCCCAATATCTAGTAACTCATACATACATTCGTCACATGAGTACCACATGGATGAAGTTTAAGCATGAGGCCAAACACTGCGAACTTTTCAACCAATACTGACTTGCTATTGACTGCATATTCAATCTAACGGTTCCAATAGCACATGTAGCTAATATTCCAATATGAGATAGCAGGGGTTTTACTGGTCACTCCTGCGTTCGTGCGTCAAATGCTTACTCGAGGAAAGTCATTGCATGCATGTGTGGCTTTGTACGTCTTCTCGAAAGACATTCGTGCTCGTCTTCATACATGCTTAAGCCTGCATTGGCCAGGATAGTAATTACTCTGCAGGCTGCGTAGGTCCATTGGGAGCAGAAATGGTGGATCCTTCAGTGGGCATAGCATGTGTATGTATGTATATTTATATATTTGTTTATAATCTATAATATAATATAATATATAATATAATATATAATATATAATGTATAATATATAATATATAATATATACTATATAATATATAATATATAATATGTAATATATAGTATAATATATATTATATTATATTATATTATACTATACTATATTATATTATATTAAATTATATTATATTAAATTATATTTAATTTTTGTTATATTATATTATATTATACTATATTATATTATACTATATTATATTGTATTATATTGTATTATATTATATTATATTATATTATATTATATTATATTATATTATATTGAATTATGTTATATTATATTATATTATATTATATTATATTATATTATATGATATAATATGATATAATATGATATAATATGATATAATATGATATAATATGATATAATATGATATTATATGA